AATGTGGTTCAGCTGCGTGAGGTGTTCACGACAAAAGCATTTGGTGATAACTGTAAGTAGAGCGTTTAGCGTGTCTTCACTGTACTGAGATCTCACATCATCTTTTATGCTACTCTTTATAGCCTTAGTATTAGTGTACGACTATTATCCCGGCTCACAGACTTTGCTAGCCAAATACTTTACGCCAGCGCCAGAGACCAACGGCTACACAGATCCATTCCAAGGCGAGGCACGCCCCTTCAGGTGAGTCAGCTATGGCAGTTAAATTTCGAATCCATCTAATGTTCATTGATCTTGCAGTCATAAGAGCAACATGCAGCGCACAAATAACGGACCTCTGCTGCCCGAATCGACTATTTGGTCCATCATCATGCAGCTCACCGCAGGCCTGAGAGCCATACATCAAGCGGGACTGGCCTGCAAGTGAGTGAGCAAAGAGTTGGATATACAGCCAGGAATAGTATAGTTAGAAATAGAACTCTCATTTGATTAAGAGTGTAAGGAGTAGGGGAAGTAGAGATCTAGGTCTATTAGCAGAACAACTATGAGCTGCCTTAGGTATATGATTGTGTGTGATTCTGGTAGCAAAGGTTCCTTTAGAAGATACCATCTAGGCATATTTATATATGTAATGTGAATATGTATAATTTTCTCATTTATTAATATTAATCTCATATATTCCAGAATACTAGATCCCACAAAGATAATTGTGACAGGGAAACGCGTGCGCTTCAGCTCGTGCTGCATCTCAGATATCACGCAATTCGATCCAAATGCAGCCAACCCCTTAGCATTGGTCAACATGCATCAGCAGGTGAGCCTCATCAACATATATAATGCGCCCCATAGACTCTAATATAACTTGCTTGGCAGGAGGATCTAACTGCATTGGGTCGCTTAGTATTAGCGTTAGCCTGCCGCTGTTTGCAGTCTGTGCAGCGGGACAATGTGCAGGCGAGCATTGATATGGTAACCAGAAACTACTCCACCGATCTACGTAATTTTATTGTGTAAGTAATGCGAACTCTTAATTTGAGACTTTGTTAATCTCATTTTTGGTTTGTGTTGTTATCAATTAGTTACCTCTTCACCACGAATAACCGCCGTTCCGTAACGGATCTGATGCCCATGATTGGAGCACGTTTTTATACGCAGCTGGATGCGCTGCAAGCACAGGTGGATATGCAGGAGGATGAGTTGGCCAAGGAGATGGAGAACGGGCGACTATATCGCATTTTAGTTAAACTAAATAGCATCAACGAACGACCCGAGTGGGTGACCTTTAACAGTGAAAAGTTATGTGACGGTTTAACTAATCGATATCCTCCGCTCTGTCTAGCTTCAACCTGGACTGCACTTGGTCAGAGACTGGTGATAGATATATGCTGAAATTATTCCGTGATTTTCTATTTCATTCCGTCACCGAGGATGGCCGACCCTGGTTGGATCATGCGCACATTGTACAATGCCTCAATAAACTGGACGCGGGCTCCATTGAGCGCGTATGTTAAGCAATAATTTACGTCCGACCAGCTAAACTATAATCCATGTATATATTTCCGTTATAGGTGCAATTAATGTCACGCGATGAGCAATCGGTTTTAATTGTCTCCTATGCTGAACTCAAGAATTGTCTGGAGAACGCCTTCTCCGAACTGATGAGTGCGGCCAACTGAGCAACAAGCAGCAACCACTACAATAACAGAAGCAACAATAATTATTAAACACGCGCAGCTCACTTAGCCACGCCCACGCCCATGCCCGCCCTCTCCCAAATACCTATACTTCCCCTACTCGACCACAAGCAACTACGATTTAAATGGTTTAAGATATATAAGAGAACACATTCATTATACTAAGACATTTTGGCGCATGCCCTTTAAATAAGCAAATGAAGAATATAAAATTATTAAAACAAAAGAGAAAACAGCAAAAAACCACTTATAATAAAAAAAAATCATAATTATAAAAATAAAAGAAAATCAACTAAATACGCAGATTTACATATATTGTTAAGTCAGGCAAAAAGATGATGCAAGATAAAGTAAAACAACTGATATCCAATGTTATGTTAGCTCTTAAATACATTTTAGGCATTTAAACTTACAAAACAACAACAAATAAACCAACAACAAACAGAAAAGGAGCAACAACTTTTTGAAAACGAAATCTCTCCAAAAAAGAAGTATAAAAAAATAATAAAAATTATGAAAAACGTAAACAAAAGAAAAAAAAAAAAAAAAAAAAACGTGCAAAATTTGTTAAAATACAAAAAAAGCGAAAACAAAAAAAAACGAAAAAGGCAAAAAGTTGATCTATTTTTACAGAGGAAGAGAATGATAGAAAGTATTTATATGTATTATAAAGTCTAAAAACAAAACAGAGAATTTGTAAAAAAAAAAAAATGAAAACAAATGGGAAAAAAAACAACAAAAAATCAAGGAACCACAACAAAAATGTCTAGGCGCCTGTCCCCCCCAAAAAACTAAACTCTACAACAACAACAACAACACGAACAACCAAATGAAAAAGAAGAATGAAACAAAAAACACATTTCTTATTTTTCAACTAATATTTTTATAGCGAAATATTTTTTAAAGAGAAAAACATGCAATTGCAAATGAAACTATGTATTTGTAAAAAGTCTAAAATTGTATTAAACAAAAGATGAAGCAGAAGGCAGAAGCAGGAGACAGCAGAAGCTGATAAAAAGCATGCAAAGCGACGCACAGCGCGACTTGGCAAGTTGCTCAAAAACAAAAACAAATAAAATGAAAATGAAAACGGAAACGGAAACGTCTAGGCCACACACAGCGTGATATGTATATACATATATATATATATATACTCCTCTTTTTTTACATGTACAACTCTTGATATGGTCTTCGGTCTTTCAGAATGCAATATTTATAATGGTTTATATATCATTTAACACACACACTCACACACATATATACACCTTAATTCACGCTCCAAACTTTGCAAGTACAACAAAAGAAAACTTACTTAAAAGTCTGTCTATATATATATATATACCATATATTTTAAAAGCAAAACCCAACTGGCGCCCGGGTTCATATCACGTAAATTATTTAAATCCAAAACAAAATGGCTTCACTCAACAAACTCAATGAAACATCAACAAGAAACCACCAGCAAAAATGTCAAAGAACTTTTGTAAAATATGCCTAGGACTTTTGTTTGAAAAAAAAAAGAAGAAAAGAAAAATCCATTAACAATTATTATCTGAGATTTGGGCTAAATGCTCGGCTTATATGCTTCTCTAATTATATGCATAGATCTGTTCCCGTTAATTTTGTTGTTGGAACCCTTTATAAACCACCAAGTCATATTGTTTTACGCTTTCTTTCTTTTTCTTTTGCACTCGTTTTCGAGCTATACATCGTATTGTCCTCTTTTTCTGTTTGTTTCTGGCATAAAAAATGCATACTCGTACTTTTTTCTTTACTAAGTTATTGTGTACTTCAAAGTAAGACTAATTAATTAGTTTTAAAATTTTATGATTAAAGAGAAAAAGAAAAACGAGAAAAAACCTACAAAAACACAAAAATGTAAAAGAAAATCTTTTTGAGAAAAACCAATAAAAAAAAATAATAAAATGTTTAAACAAAGTTGTTGATTTTTTTCTTAACAAAAAAATGGTTTGTATATTTAACACTCTTTATCACAGCATTGCTATTTTGGTAAAAACAAAACCAAAATGTATAAAAAGTTTACTGAATATTTAAAAAGCTAGAGGTTCTTCCTCCCGCAGTTTGCAATTTTACTCAGCAGTCGGTCTTTTAAATAGGCCCCCACATTTAACAGAAAATCAGCTGAACTACAGCTACTTGACTCCAACCAAAGTCTACCAGACTTCAGCTACCACTTAATACTATTTTTCATTTATTAATTATTTGGGCCGAAATCCTGGCGGTACTGCAATACCAGGCCAACCCGTGACAGAGGTGGAGCAAGCTCCTAGCACTCCGTCTCTTTCCAAAAATCAGTTTAACATTTGTTGTCCTCCGATGGAGGATCTATCAGATGTTAAGCTGATAAGAACAGATACTACACTTTGATCTTAGCCATAAGGCCGAGAAGCGATAACTTGACAACGTCAATCTAGTGCCTACTCATTGCCAAGCAGCTAAAACCGTTTGGGAATTCGTGTGCAACGTCAAACTTTCTATTTTCACACATGCGCCGTTGCTGTTAGAGAGAAAGAGAAGAAATATTTGCCTTTGGTGCACGATTGAGTGTGTCTTTTAACATTGCCTTTGGTGGTGGTTTTGCATGCGCCGCAAAGCATGCTACAAAATTTCAGTTACGCGCGCTGTAATTCCCAACCGGTTGTGGCAGTGAGAGCGTGGTGTGGCGGCATTGTGCCTCATTTCGTTACTCTGGCTTCTCTTCAGTTGTCGAATAAATCTTTCGCCTTTTACTAAAGATTTCCGTGGAGAGGAGCACTCTAATGAGTCTAAAATAATTTTTGCTTGTGCCTGATTGCAAAATCGGGCCATTAATCAATATATACAAAATAGCTATAAGTGAAATAGAATTCACATGTTTTTTGACGTGTTTTTATTTTAACTAAATAATTACAACGTATAATACAAATTTTTAGAAAATGTACAACATTTTATGTTAGCTGCTTTTTCATTCATAGGGTTAGTTGTTTTGTTGTTGTTAATTTGTGTGCGGCAGAATTTGAGGCAATTTATTATGAATTAAATTATTTTATTTTAAATAGAAATTTATGTTGAAATATTTGTTTTGTTAAAAGATTTAAATTTTGTTGCTGTTGTGTTATTATTTTGATGCTTCTTCGTTTGTGTTTATCACAGTTAATTATTTAAAAGTTGTTCGGCCGCATTGCTAAAAATTAAACCCTATAAAACTTGATTTCCGAATGCGAATTGTAACGGCAAATGCGAGAAAGCTTGAAAAATTGTGTATGGAAGATTGTGTGTACATGTGTGTGTGTGTGTGTGTATGTATGTGTGTTTTCATTTCTACATAGTTGTGCAATTCTCTTTTTAGCTACTTCGTCATATAAACTACTTAAACTTAAGCTTTAATTAAATCTTATATTTAGTACAAAAAATTCAGCTTCAGAATTTGAGCAAATGTTTTGAGTATTTTTCGCGTTAGTTAGGGTACAGGGGAGACGACAGGGGACAGGCGTGTGGCAATTTGCACTTAAATTTATGGGGCGGAGGGCGAAGGGCGGGGTAGTTGTCGAAGGCGATCTATCATCATTTAATAATGTATGTATGTATTAACAACTTGCATAGGCCAATGCGCAGCCCGAGCAGAGCTTCTTCCTTATTCAAAAATCCCTCTGTGCGGCTGCTTAGGCTGGCGCGTCCGTGGGGGCGTGACAGCCTTCAACATTCTCCGGCCAGTCGCAAACGTTCTCCTGTGGATTGAAGACCAAATTGGCAGGACATGGCATGTGATGCTTGCGCTCTCCCTCGCACATATAGTAATGCGTGCAATCGGCCCAATCCTTGTGGTAGCTAATGTGTCCCTCCTCCTCCGCGCAGGTCACATCATGAGCTGTTCAATGGCATGAATTTAGTTGAAATCATTCTCATACCAGATCCAATCAGTACTTACGATCCTTGGTGGTATAGGCGCCGCGTGGACCATGAGACTCGTAGGGCCCATCATATTCGAGTGTCACCTTGTAGTCCTTCAGCTCGTCGTTGAGCGCGTTTAGCAACGGATATTTGCCATTGCCGCAGCGTCCCGAGAAATCATCCATATCTATGGACCAGACCATGATGCCGCCGAAGCCTTGCTCCTTCAGCCATTCCGTCTAGAAATAAGAGATTGATTATTAATATTTGATCTTATTTGAATAAGAGAGCAATCTTACCTTGGTTTTCAGCGAGCGCTCATCATCGAAGCCCACCCATTGGTTGCCTCTGTAGGCGAAGGGCACCTGCTGCTCGGAGTCCCAGACCAGCGTAGTATTATCCGCCGCTAGGAAGGAGCAGACCTCATAGTAGCTAAGGAAGCCAGCCTCGTTGGTGAATTTTCCTGCCTTGCCGCCACCCGAAGAGGGCGAACCGATATCGAATTGTGTCTCATTGACCAGCTCGAAGCTCCGGCCATAGGTGGGCATGCCAATGAGCAGCTTCTCCTTGGGAGCGCCCTGTTTGACCCACTCGCGTGCGCTGTAGTCCACGGTCAATTTCTTCTGATAGCCCGTCGCTGATTCCAAGGCAAAGAGCGGCGAATTGTGTCCCACGGTGCGTTCCCATTGGCCATGGAAGTCGTAGGTCATCACATTGATAAAGTCCAGATATTTCGATATCTCTGGCACATCGTAGCCGGCGGCGATTGCCTCAAAGGAGGCGGGCACTGCAGCTGTGAGCAGTAGGCGTGGCAGACCTGAAGATTTCGCCTCGCCTTCGAAGGCAACACGCAATTCCCGGAGCAGATTCACATAAGCCACACGATCCTCGGCACCGCGAGGATATTCCCAATCCACGTCCAATCCATTAAATTTGTAGTCCCTCAAAAAGTCAATGGCTTCGTAGACGAACTGGTTCATGCGGAACACGTTCGAGGTGAGCTCCTTGAAGGGTGTGGAGCCGAAAGCCCAGCCGCCAATGGCCAGCAGAATTTGCAGATCCGGATTTGAATCGCGCAAGGCAATCACACTCTCATAGTTCTCCGGATCGTCGTCCGTGGCCTCTGTCAGCTTATATTCCTGCAGGGTGGCGAATGCGTAGACAATGTGTGTGCAGAGCTTGGGATCGATGTGAGATGGCTCGAATTTGCCTGCGCCTGGGCGCTTAGCGGACCAGCTGGTCAAATAGCAGAAGACCTGAGCGGGACGAGCTAGGGATGAACGGAGATTAGATAGCTGATCAAAGAGACTTTCATATGAGGCACTTACAGTTCTGTTCGATGGCATTGGCACCCGACTTGATGCGTTGCTTCTTTTGCACATGAGGCTTGCGCACCTTCTTGAGGATTTCATCAACAGAAATTTGAATGGGTTCGGGTTTCTGTGAGGTGGAATTAGATTAGATCTAGTAGAATATCTAGAAGAAGACACTTACCTCTTCGATGTCTTCAAATGTGGCTGCAACGGCCGTCCAGTTGACATCCTTGGCCTCCTTGCCACGCGATATGCCCAGCAGCTCCTCGCGCATAGCTCCAATCAATGGGTACTTGACATTGCCACCGCACACATCGCCCTTGAAGTCGTCCATATCGACGGTCCAGACCATGGCGCCGCCAAAGCCGTTCGTTTTGATCCATTGCATTTTATTTCTGATCGCGCGCTCATCATCGAAGCCCACCCACTGATCACCATCGACCATGTAGGGCACCTTCATCTCGTCATCCCAGACGTAGACGGCGCCGTTCAACAGCATCTCGCAGATCTCGTAGTAGGCCAAGAAACCGCTCTCCTTGGTGTAGACGCCCTCACGCCCGCCGCCCGTAGCCGGTGCATTGGGCCCATGTTTCTCCGTGTTGGCCAGCGTGAAGGAACGTCCATAGGTGGGCATGCCAATGATCAACTTCTCCTTGGGTGCGCCCATTTTGACCCACAGATTGGCGGCATTATCCACGGAAAGCTGTTTGCGCCACTCCGAATCTGTAGAGGGGGCATATCTGGGGAAGGGAGAGGGGTCAATGAGATGAAGGACTTAATGTTTATATAAATCGAGCCTTACAGTGGAGCATTGTGTCCCGTTTCGCGCTCCCATTTGCCGTGGAAATCGTAGGCCATCAGATTGATAAAGTCCAGATAGCTGGCAATAGCGGGCACATCATATCCACCACGGATATTGTCGGGTCCAACAGGCACAGCGGCCGAGAGCAGCAGACGTGGCTGCTTCAACTCCTGGGCCTCAGCTTCGAAAGCCTCGCGCAGCTCCTTCAGCAACAGCACAAAGTTCTTCTTATCCTCCGAGCCCTTGGGGTACTCCCAATCCATGTCCAAGCCATCAAAGCCGCGCTTACGCAGGAAGGGTATGGCCGAATAGACGAAAGTCTGACGCGTGTAGCGCGTGGCGGACATGTCCTTGAACTTTTGCGTGCCGAACGACCAGCCGCCAATGGCCAGCAGAATCTATGGGAAATTTATATTAGAAAAGAATCCAAATAGAGATCCCAGTAATGCCTACCTTCAGCTTGGGATTAGCCTTGCGCAGATTCATCATGCGCTCGTAGAGTCCGGGCACATTGTCCTTGGTCTCATCGTTCGACTCGTAGGAGCTCAGCTTGCCCTTCTTCAGCCAGCCAAAGGCGAAGATAATGTGCGTGCACAGATCGGCGGGTATATCCTCGGGCACAAATTTGCCAATTTTGACACGATATTGCGACCAATTCGTGTAGTAGCAAACGATCTTCGGCGTGCCATCGTCCACTTTTGTCTTTTTGCCCTTGAGCGATGAACCGCTGGCTACGAGAGCTGTTCCACCAGCAGCTGCTGCTGCAGCGCCACCGCGTAGCTTGGACTTGGAGCGTAGACGAGTTCTGCTCACAGTTGTTGTGGATGCGGGCTCCTGATCGATGCGCTTCTCAGCCACAGGCGCTTCCGTAGACTTCTTGGCGGACAGCGAATCGCTACGGGAACTACTGAGAGTAGATGGACGTCGCAAACGTCGACGGGTCTTGGCTGCAATTCAGAAATTGTTGGAAAAATGAAGTTGGAATGGTTGAGAGTGAAGAGGAGTTATGCGGATGGGAGTATGATTCAACTATAATTCATGCTCGACAAAGGTATCTATGATTTGGTAACCCTCAATCCAAACTTATTCTCTTGTTTGTAATTTAGAGCTGACCCAAAAAAACTAACAACTAACATCTGAATATGATTTGCCGCATCAGATTCAGCATCATCATCATCATTAATCATCATCAATCATTGAGTGTCTAGCTATTACAAGCTCCGATTGGCATATATCAAGTGGCTTTAATTCAAAATAAATGCATCGATTGGCATCTGCTGTCGACGGCAGCAGCTATCATTATCTTTGTTTATATTCCAGACCATTTGACAATGTCTAGCATTTAATGTTTATTTCTTTTATTGAACACCTAATTAAGAAGCATAGTGAGTTTTTACTAATGATACTGGTTATTCAGTTTAAACTTGTGCAATTAAACGGCTATCGTGTATACCTGTTATTCGTGAAATTGAAAATGACTTTAAATTGTCTGCATCTGAAATAACAATACAAGATTATGGCGTTTGTTACTCGTCAAGTCAGGCTACGCTAAAGCTACAGGTAAAGCAAACGCCTGCAATTTGCGACATTTGTGCTTAAAACCGGTCCAAATAAATGTATATTTAATTTAGTCGCGGGCCTCTCACTGCGCATGCCCACACATCAAAATAAAAACAAAATACACAGTATTTCATTTATGGACACGAATATGCGCATTCAAGTATTTCAGCTTTTCAGTCTTTTAGCTTTTGTCGATTGGGGTTGCCTTCGTATTGCATTGCAGCTTGCTGTTCTAGTGGTTCTACTAGCAGGTAAGTCGCTGGCAAAGTGTCTGGGGATATAGCTCAGTGGTAGAGCATTCGACTGCAGATCGAGAGGTCCCCGGTTCAAACCCGGGTGTCCCCT